CGCTATGCCTAAAATGTGTCACAGGCATGTGGAACTTGCACATAAGGAAAGCTGTCCTGATGCAATCTGAAATAAGATTTACTCAGGGAAATATAATTGCATTTCGTAAAGGTGCTCGGCCCATCAGAGCCTCGGTAGGAGAAACGCCATCAGGCAACGCCGAGTTCGGCATTATCCAGTAGGAAAATAGGAACGCCTGGACTATCTCGTACGTGATGCCCTCCCCACGAGCTTTAAAGAGGGTTCCACAAAAATATTGGCAAAACAATCCGTCTGGCAGTTTGAGTTAGGATAGTAGGACAGGACGCAAGGATTCCGAATTTTATGCTGGCGACAGAAGTCTTCAAACATCGACGAAGTAATCCGAGAGCCAATATCTGAAACCAAGACTTCTTGTAAGCCGTGCTGGCTAAAGATGCTTCGTAGAAAGGCCATGGTGGCAGGTGTGGTCGCTACATTCGGCTGAGCAATTTGAGGCCACATAGGGGTAGGCGTTCACCAAGATTAGGTAGGCGAATCCGTTAAGCGAACCAGCGAAGTCGATAGGCACGTGTGCCCAAGGCTTCTCGGGTGGTTGGCAGGCTATTGGCGGCGGACGAGGCTGCATCTTTGCAGCCTGCTAAGATCGAGGACAGTGTGGAACCTGATGGCCGATGATGCCGTAGAAACCTGACCAGCAATGCTCGGTAGAAGAAGAGCGGGCGAATATCGCTAGCGAAAGCAGTGGTCGACCAGCAGGTCTGCCCATATGTGATGGCCTAATGGAGGTCAGGATCCTGTTCAATCGCGCTGATGTCAGATGTCCGCGATTGTGACAGAGATGCCCTGTATGGCATCTGTGAGGAGACGGCGCAAATCGTCCTCAATCTAAATAGCAGCAATCACAGTGTCTTTCTCAGGTTCCTGCAAATTGCAGATGAGGCGAGAAAGAGCGTCAGCTAGACCAAAGTCGGTAGTACGGCAATAGAGGATGTCGAATACTGTAACTTAGAAGAATTGTTACACATCGCTAAGTTCGGCCGACCAAACAGACATGAATGTAATTCTACGAACTAAAGATTAACGGCGATGGTTTGTGATCCGCCAACAACACGAAATGGCCACCGTACAACAGTTTGTGGAACTTCTCTGCGGCAAACACGAGGGCTAGATTCTCTCTGTCTATTTTCTCGTATTTCTTCTCCGCAGGGGTTAGCGTTCAAGATTCATACATGCTCGACGTTCAAACCTATCATAAAAAATATGTAAAATGACGATCACAACTCGATGGTTAGAAGCCTTTGCAGCAACATCTATTGGCAGCATCAGGTCCTTGTGCTTAGGCAGCAGATTTGACCTAAGGCGACTTAGGGACGACGTAGATCTGCAATTACGCACCAGTGGGATCCAACTTGACAAAGCGAGTCGCCCCATTCAACAGGGTAAAATGATTAGCCGGAAACGGCAGTGCATAACAGTTCAGCATCAGCGCGTCATTTGGGCAGGTGTAGTAGTTAGCACGAATGCGGATTGAGTCATTGGACTACTTAACCACAATGATTACAGCGGCCCAATCAGAGTAGGATACAGGAACTAGAACTCACAGTTCCTTCGAACGATTCCGCTAAGCTTCGACAAGTGGTAGGGCTGCATCTGCTTCAAGACGGCGTACTCGTCGGCCATTGCAGTTGGAAACTGCCATACGATGTACGTTGCCAGGTTTTTAAATATTAAAGATATCAAAATACGCGTATAAACATTTGTCCTGTTTGTATAGCAGCCGACTTTCAGGAGGGATAACAAGGATGCACAGTTTCAGGAAATGAGATAATTGCTTCCTTTGAAACCATTACCCTCGTTAATCGATTCCAGTAAATGTGCCAATACAATGCACAAACGAACACCTCCAGGGTGTGCGAGCTGTAGGCCGGAAGGACCGAGTGCATGAAACGCTGTACGCAGTTTTCGGCCCACAAGAGCCTCGGTAGGAGAGACGGCATTAGGCAACGCTAGGTTCGGTGTTGTCCTGTAGGACAACAGGAACGCCTGGACTTTCTTGTCCGTAATCCCATCCCCTCGAGCTTTTAGGAGGGCCCTCCTAAAAATGTTGAAAAAACGATCCGTCTGACCGTTTAAATAATGAAAGTAGGACAGGAAGCGAAAATGCCGAATGTTATGCCGGCGGCAAAAATCTTCAAATATCGCCGGAGTTAACAGAGAGCCAAGATCTGTCCGCGGAAGTGACAGAGATACATTGTATGGCATCTGAGAGGAGACTGCGCACATAGTCCTCAATCGAATTAGTGGCAATCACAATGTCTTTCTCAGGTTCCTGCTAATTGCAGATGAGGCGAGAAAGGGCGTCAGCCTGACCAAAGTCGGGAAAACGGCAAAAGAGACTGTCGAAACTGCGACTAGGAAGAATGGTTATTTATCGCTGAATTCGTCTGGCTTAAAAGACAGGAATGTCCTTCTTCGAACCTAAGATTGACGGCGGTGGTTTGTGATCTTCCAAGTACAGGAATTCGCGACCGTACAGCAGCTTATGGAACTTCATGGCGGACAAAACGAGGGCTAAATTATCTTTGTCTATTTGCCCATATTTCTTCTCCGCAGGGGTTAGCATTTAACATTCATATATGATCGACGTTCAAACCTATCAGAAAAAGTATGTAAGATGACGAACGCAACTCCATGGTTGGAGGCATTTGCAGCAACAACTATTGGCAGCAGATCTGAACTTACCATCGGATTTAGCTGGGCGAAGACATTTTCGTATTCGGAGCACCGGCAACAAGGAGCATCCTTCTGCAACAGACGGTTAAGTGGGGTCCGTCCTTTATTCAACGATTGCAGAAGGACCTATAGTAGCTAATCCGACCACGAAACGAACGATGGTGCGATACATTCTTCAACGCAGGCATCGTTGCTTGGCCCGAAGGTTTTCATGATCTGGATGACAACCGGGGACAACAGAAAACGAATCCGAGATAGTCTCTGGAGTCGTGGAAGAATCGGAACTTGTCGGCACGCAGGCCTGAAACCATATTCCTCGACGCGTTTGAGTACTGCACACACTCGGTCTTTCAGCTTGCCAGAGGAGCGACCTAGGATTCTGATGTCGTTCGGGTACCCAGATGTACCAGGGATGCAGGCGGGCATTGCGTTAATCGTTTGCTGGAGTTGTGCCGGTGGGCTCTTGACACCAATAGGCAGCCTTGTTTATTGGAACAGACCGCGGGGAATGGTAATGGTCAACAATTCGCGCGACTCTGGGACGACCTCGATCTGCCGGTACCCATAAGCG